AGTTTTTTTTGTTGTTCTTTGGTTGTTTGTTTTTTTGTTTCATGTCGTCTTGTGTTTTCCCTCTGATGTCCAGGTGTTCTGCACTTTGCGTTCATTGTTTTTTCCTGTTTCATAGCGTTTCTTTGTCGCTCTGACGCCGACTTCGATCTCTGTTGCGAGTTGGCAACATTCTAAGAGGGTTCCGACATCGTCTTTTTTTTCGCGGTTGGCGACTTTCATCATGTCGCAGGACCGGGGGAAGGATCCGGTAGACTCGCTCACGACCTCCCGACAAGGTCATAACACGAAGACGTTTGACTCGCCGTTCAAGGTCGACCCGACAGTCGACGGCAAGCGGGACGACCCGGTGTGGCATTCCGTGGCCAGAGGGCGTTATTTGGATGGATCGACGGCGGCAGGCAGGAAGAGCGGTCGTCGATGCCTGTGCAGGTTGTGCGGGCGTTCGATTTGTGGGGGAGCTAAAGCCGCCAAGGAGCACTTCTCGAAGAGCGAGAAGTTCCGATGTGAGGCAGCCACTGCTGCTGTGTGGAATGTGATCTGGTCGAAGGACATGACAAAATGTTTGAAGGAGTTTGCGTCGGCATAGAAACGTTGCAGAGCTACTTGCCAAGTCATCCGAGCTTGCAGTGGCCACCTCTTCGATTCCCCGAGGACGCAGTGCCGCCGCTGGTTCCTCCCACCGCCCCTTCTGGAGCGGTCGCATCGCCCAATTCTGGGGCTCCGGCCATTCGAGTCACGGTACCGCGTCCTGCAACAACAGTTGCAATACGACCGGCAGCCCCGCCGTATGCGCCGCTGGCTGGGACACGAGGTGCTCGCGATGTGGGAGTTGGTCGTTCCACGCCAGCCAACGAGCCCCCGCCTCTGAGGGATGGTGTGGGCTCTGCGGCATTTGACGAGGAGAGCACACGTGCATTTATTGAGAGTCGCAGGTGGGGGGGGGAGTGCCGGCAGTTCAGCGCCCGCGCTCGCCCCTGTTTTCAGGAGTGCTAGGCAGTCAGAAGCCGCACGGGGTGGTACTACGGTGGCACCTGGCGCATCACCCCGCAGTTCGTCGGAGCACCCCTGGCTGCCACCGCCACCGTCGAGAGCGGCGCAGCGTCCAGTGGTCCACCACGCTTACGGAACCGCCCACCCGGATCCGTCACACGCACCTGCAGATGCTCGACATTCTGCTTCCGTGCCTCGTTTCGGGGAACAGGTGGATCATGGGGTGCCTGCCGAGGAGGTCCCCGCTCCGGTGTCCGATTCATCGCCGACCCCTGTTCCGACAACCACGGGTGGTGGTCGGTCTGCCCCACAGCCTCCACCCGTGTTGACCGGAACGTTAGACCCTTTGCAGCGCATTCGTGACCTTGCAGTCGCCCAGAGCGCGGCACCTGTGAGCCCTGGCGAGTTGTTGGATGCTGGGGTCCTTGGCGGGAGAGCTACGACGGGACGATGTCGGGGCACTTACAGGCAGCAAGCCGTCGCGTCATATTATTCGGACCCTTTGGAGCGCGCATGGCATCTGCAAATCATGCGGTTCATCGTCGAGAGCGGGATGTCGTTCAACAGCACGAAGCTTGAAAGCTTCAAACGCATGTTCACGATGATAATCCCGCCGAGGGTTCCAGGGGCGCCCGCGCCTAGACTTTCCTCGTACCACATGCTGCGCACGACCCTTTTGGACGAGCTGGATGGTGAGATCCAGAAGTGTGTTCGGCCGGTGCTTGACACGTTGAGAGAGACCGGTTGCACAATCATGACCGATGGTTGGACCAACATCCGTGGTCAGACGTTGTGCAACTACCTTGTTGGTACAGAGATCGGGGTGGTGTATGTGTCCACCGACGTCATGCGCGGCAAAAAGGACACCAGTGCCCTCGCGAATGCATGGTTGAAAAGGGTGAGGTCCATGGACGTTCAATTGAGCGACATCACGGCGTTCGTGACGGACTCCGCCGGGGTGAACGTCGCGGCGATGAAGGTATTCCAAAAAGATGAGAGCGTGAAACACATCTTCTGGATTCCTTGCGTCGCCCACATCATGGATCTCATTCTCGAGGACATCGGCGGGATTGATTGGGTGGCTTCCCGCATTTCTCAAGCGAGGCTGGTTACAAGGTTCTTCAAGCGCCATGGACATGCCAGAGAGGTTCTTGAGGCGCACTCGACGAAGACTCTTCTGCTACCGGCAGAGACGCGTTTCGGCACGAACGTCATCATGATTGAGAGGCTGGTGGCACTGCGGGCCACGTTGACAGATGTTGTGGCCGACGATCGCTGGCGCGAGACTGTTTGGTCGACCAGCAAGATCCGCAAGGATGCAGCGGAGGTCACTGCATGTATCGGCTCCCCTCCATGGTGGGAGGATTTGAGAGCTCTGTGCAAGATGCTAGAGCCCATCATGGGCATGSTGAAGTTGGTGGACAGCGACACACGCCAGATCAGCAAGATTCTGCGACGTTACGAGGAAATKATTGCATCTTGTTTATCCGCATGTCGTGACATTGATCGGGAGCCGCAAAACGCTATTGTGGAGGTGTTCCACAGGTGGCGCACCATGTTCAAGACCCCCGCCCACACGGCAGCCATGCTGCTAGATCCAGAGTTCCGGGACGCGACGCTTTGTGATGATGCGGAGGTGCAACAGGCCTTGGTCGAGGCCCTTGTCCAATTCAGCTGCCTGGAGGATTCGCCGCAGCACCGGGAGGTCCAACGAGCGGTCGCCAAGCTCCACACGAGGGAGCCCCCTTTCGATGAGCTCACCATGCGGCGAGCTGCAGATATCTTTGATCACCCTGCCAGTTTTTGGTCCTCAAAGAAGGCGAAGTTCCCTCACATGGCCGTGTTTGCAGGCAGGATCCTTCGTATATGGGCGACCGCCTTACCGTGCGAGAAAGCGTGGTCTCGTTGGAGCTTCATTCATTCGAAGTCTCGCAACAGGTTGGAGGTTCCTCGGGCTGAGAAGCTTGTGCGGTGCCACTGGAACCTCAGGCTACTCGATCGACCTTCGTTGTGCGACGATGGTGTTGGAGAGAGGCCCGGCGTCTTCGGGAAATGGGTGCATTATTGGCAGGCCGTGGAGGACGAGGCACCCGTGGACCAGCAGCTCGTCAGAGGCACCGGTGCGCTGGCGAAGGTGACCGAGGAGGAGTTGAGCCTCGCCAGAGAGAGGATGCGCGCCATTTCCC